TTCAAAATTAATATCAGAAGGGGTTTTGTGGATATTATAGTAATTTTAGTCGTTGAGATCATGAGTCAATTATAATATCCATAAAACCCCTTCTGATATTAATCAACATATGTTCATTAGTGATGGTCTTCAAGAGGTATTTCCTGAAGTTCTAGTGAGAATCACTGACGAGTGTTATTCAACTGTGTCTGTTAGAAGATGGTGGACAGTGGCGTAATTTCGTGGATTAAACATTAGCACCATTGGATGCCGGTCAGCTCAGTGGTCTAATGGTTAAGCGCTCACGTCCAGGACTGATAGTTCCCAAAGTTCGAATCTCGCGAAGCGGGATCATGAACGCGCACTACTGAGGAATCCAACAATATGACCAAACGGTCGTCCAGCGCTTCCAAGTTTTCCATGCTGGTCTAGCTTCAATTCGCTTATAATCTTAACTCTTAATATTCTGAATTATTTGAAATAAATTTTTCTGATTTTCATTTATTTTATTTTCTATATGCTTTTTTCTGGGCAACTTTTTTTTCCCACTTTCACTCTCACCGTCTCTTTCTTCCTCCCTGTGTCTATCTGTTTTCAAGAATGATTCCAACGAATACCTAATACCTATTTCATTAATAAAACTTAATCTGTCAATTCTTCTTTGCTTTTCTATAATCTCCGCCTATTCTTAACTGACTATTGAAATTTCAATACAATTGAATCATTTAATTGAATATTTAACAATGTCACATGGGTTAATGAATTGAATTTAAAGGAAAAAGACAATCATGCTAACCACGCACGCACGCACACACGCGCTCACTCACACACACACAAGATCTATTCAAGATGAGTATTTTTTTAATTCTAGGAGAAATCAATATTATATGGCTTGTCATATTAGTAGTATAGTGGAACCATACCTGATATGAACCGTTTGTTCTTTATTCTTTAACTGAATGTTTTAAACATTGAAATTGATTTTTATTGAATAGCCTATATGAATTATTACTACTGATATTGACAGAGATAAGTAGTATGTATCATTAATCGAGAGTGAAATGTCTGCTATCAGAAGGTTAAGAAGATTGAAGAAAACAGAACGAGAACAGTGAATGATGAACTTTGACTTATAACTCATATTTTATTCTAACTTTCTCTCTATATATGTTAATGATCGTTTGTACATGGGGTTCTCTCCCTCTAAATGCAAGTTGTTGCTTCAGGACTGGTCTGCGTCAACACCTGAACTAAGGATAGGGAGTGAAGTAGTCGAACGTGTTGACAACTTCACTTATCTTGGAAGTCTGATCAGCCCTAATGGGTTGGTGTCTGACGAAATCTCAGCACGGATTCGTAAAGCTCGTTTGGCTTTTGCCAACTTACGTCACCTTTGGCGGAGGCGAGATATCCGTCTATCAATAAAAAGACGAGTATACTGCGCGGCTGTCCGTTCTGTTTTAATTTACGGCAGCGAAACATGGCCCTTAAGAGTAGAAGACACCCGTAAGCTACTAGTATTTGACCACAGATGCCTTAGAAATATTGCTGGCATCTGCTGGGATCACCGGGTAAGTAATAGTGAGGTTAGACGCAGGGTATTAGGGAATGATGGTAAATCAGTTGATGAGGTTATGAATCTTCATCGACTGAGATGGTTGGGCCACGTGTTGCGTATGCCTGAACACCGATTACCGCGACGTGCAATGCTAACCGGTGTAGGGGATGGTTGGAAGAAAGTTAGGGGCGGCCAAACCAAAACGTGGCATCAGTGCCTGAAGTCACTAACTTCTAGTCTGAGCCATGTTGGTAGATGCAGACTACTTGGTTGGGGTCCGCGTGACTTTCGTAACCAATGGTTGGAGACCCTTGGTGACATGGCTCAGAATCGATCACAATGGCGTCGGTGTATACACTCTCTGTCTTCCCTTAAACTAAGAGATTAAGATCACTTCACATCTTTCTTTCTACGAACTAATTCTTTCTTCCTATACTATATCCTTATTGCAATCTTTCTCCTATATATTACCACCTTTGACCTAACCACTCCTATGAATCCAGTGTTCATCTTGCAGTGCTAATGAGGTATGGCAACCTGGGCCGGTGCATACATGTGCCTGGTCCTACGTTGTAGCTGACTGACTGACCTGACTGACATGGGGTAAGGAGATTAGTGAAGTGTTTTACACTGTAAACAACCATAAATCACTTGTCCCCATTAAGTTCCTTCTTTTTAAACATTACATACTCATTGAATTGCATGAAGATTACTTCAAGATGACTTTACTTTATCAATAATGTTGCAACGATTTTGTGATAGAGTCATTCGCACAAACATTCATGAACATATTCCTAGGCAACAACTGTAAGTAGCTTAACTAAAAGACTTTCTGAACATCATGAAATCAATGTAGAAAATTGAAAATCAACTCATCGAGAAGGAAGCTATTCTCTTGAATTTATTCAAACAAACAAAATCATTAGCACGAACTTCCTAACAATTGAATTCATCATCATCATCATCATCATCCAAATCACCATCAACATAAAGACGATGAAATGCCTGAAGATTAATTCATCTACCTTGAAGAATATAATTTCAATAGAGTCAGTCCAAGTTAAAATTGTCAAGAATCTCTCGTTGATCTCATTTTTCGTCTGATCGAATTACCTCAATAAAGCATTTTTCAATAAACCATGAATAGCATATCTATTAATCCCCATAAAAGGTTATTTGATTCATAGTTTAATTGAAACATAGTTTGTACAAAGAAAATAACATAAGAGATGGTGGAGAAGATTTTTTCGTTCAGATGGGTGATTTTGATGAAGTTTTGTTCTTTAAGTTGAATAGTTTGGTTTATACTGATGATGTCTTACAGAAGAACAATGAAAGCTCCACGACTAAACCATCCAACTTAGAGAACAAAACTCAATCAAACGTAACACTGAGCATTTTAAAATTACAAAGGGCGAGACTATAATTTATGGATGAACCAATCAGATTTACGATAGTAGATCTTGAATTTCGGGGTAAAATTCATTCATTCATTTGGTTTAATAGTGTTTTGGCATTATAGCTAATATCAGTTCGTGATGATATTCCAAAGAAGATTATCCTTCAAAGCAAACAAACAGTTGAAATGTTATGCGCTACGACTGAAACTTTATACACTAAACGGTTGATCTATTTACCTATATTTGTTATAGACTTTACATTGATGGAAAGGATTAACCAGTAGTGTGTTCGATAGAGAATGCTGATGAGTAGACTATGCACTTCCACAAGGGGTAACAGGCAGAAGTAAGTCTATACTGCAGTTAGAAACATACATAATTTCTAATATAATATTTCTACAACTCGGTAGATTTAATTATAAGCTAACCATATTGATATGAAACATCGAATTAGTCAGAGAAGTCAATCTGAACAAAATTCAGATCAAACTGTATTGTAATAAAACAATTTAGGTTTAAATAGTTGAGTTCGTGTGTCAATTGAAGCTAGATCACCATAGAAAACCTTGAAGCACTGGACGGCCGCTTCGTCATAGTATGAGGCTCCTCAGCAGTGCTCATCAACGACACCACCTTTCGAGATTCGAACCCAGGTCCTATCAGTCTCGCACGCGGGTGCTTAACCACTAGTCCACTGAGATGCGATAGTAACTCATTGATGATAATGGTGGACAGTGGCGCAAATTCGTGGATTGGTTAAAGTTAGACAATAACATCGTTGGATGCTGGACAGCTAAGTGGTCTAGTGGTTAAGTGTTCGCTCGCGAGACCGATAGGTCCCAAAGTTCGAATCTTGCAAGGTGGGATCTTGGATGCGCACTGCTGAGGAGTGACACAATAGGACAAAACGGCCATCCAGTGCTTTCAGGTTTCCCATGATGGTTTAACTTTAATTGACTTATGAATTCAAGTATTAAATTATTGACAACAGTGTTAATTAATTGAGACTGGAGGTTAATGTGCGATTACCATTTTCAACATTACCACTGTCTTCGGTATTACTAAGGCTTGCAAATAGAATTCTTCATTAGTTTATTCTAAAACACTCACAATCGCTACTCATAGTCAGTTTGCTTATATATGTGTAAGTGAAAGGTAGTGATAGTGTAACGCACCTTAAAATCAGAGTAGTTTCATGGTGTATGCTACTGATGTCGACAGATATAAGTAGTATGTGTCATCAATTTAAAGTGAAATGCTTGGCGGCAAAGGGTTAACAAGATCAAAGAGAAGAGAATAAGAACAGAGGACAATTGATGTAGAAATGAAAGAACAATCAAGTAGTAGACAATTGATTGACATCTACTGTATGATTCTCAGATGTTACCAATATATTCTGTATTGTTGTATTCAAATACATTTGATTGTCTCACACTTGTTTTCTCATTTATAACAGTAAGATATTCATTTCATCTTCATATTTAATTCTAAATATTATTAGTTCTGAAAATTGACTTGACATTGTTGTTCTACTTAAATCTTCTCATTGACCTTTAGGATTGCAATTGATTAGTCTCTCTTATTGACATGTGTGTGTACTGTGTGCATCATCTCAATATTGCATTAATTCATAAGTATTAAGAGTGAAGATGGATAATGGCTAGTAATTGAATCTTGATGCACAATCAAGTGTCTATCAGGACCCTGCGGCTAAGTGGATAACGCAATGATATTTGCTGCAGACAATACTGGGTTCGAGTCCCAGAATCAAATATTAACACATCGGGGATTCAGATACATCCAGTTATAAATAAGACAAAGCATGCTACCTAGATTCCACTACTAACTATTATCCATCATTGCTTATAAACAAAGTATGTACATATATACATTTTGAGTGTTTCAGAAAACAAGTACTAGTCACAAGTTTCAATATGAATATAAACATCATCTAGCTGATGAGTCTTAGATGGGACGAAACTCTCATCCTAATCTCTATTAATAATCACTATTCAATAAATTATTATTAAATTGAATATATATATTTCAATGGTTAAACTTACAATTCAATGTACCTTGCATTTTCAATATTGCTTCAGCTAATAAATCAACATTAGATGTAGAAGAATTTTTCAATCTTGTCGGTGGATATAAACGTGTTTTATACAAATCATGATTATGATATTGATGTTGTTGATTAGACTGATTAGGATAATTAAGATGATGATGATGATGATGATTTGCATTAATATTAAATAGACTTTGTCGTTTATAGATTGTTGGTAGATTTGATTGTTGATTAGATAATCTACTACCTTGATCACTAAATCGTCTATTATTATTATTATTATTACTATTGAAATAATTCATAGATGGATTTATACAATATAAACGTTGTTTATTTACAGTTAATTGATTTTTCTGATTATCCTTAGTTACAGATTGTTGTTGCTGTGGATCAAGATCATGATCATGATCATGTTTATCATAAGTAACCATATCATTTGGACTAGTTATCATTAATAATGGAGTGATAATTCTTTATGCATTTCTTGTGTATAATTTGTTATAGTTAATCCATTTAAATAATCATTTGATTTCATTGTATCCTCCTCCTCCTCCTCCTCCTCATCATCATCATCATCATCATCATCACCATCGTCATTTTTAGTAACCAAGTTGATTTCATTTGATAATTCACTCATTGAAAAGAAAAGAAAAAGAAAAGAAAAAGAGATAAAAGAGCGAGAAAAAGAAACAAGAGTAAAGAAAAAGAAATTTGTAGAAGTTTTATTGTTTTCTCTTAGAATTACACTATTGAAATGATAATTCCGTAATGATTACGTAATGATTTAAATGACATACATCAATGTGTTCTTCATTAATGGAAGTAAATATAAATGAAGTATATCCAAATCGTTGAAAATAATCTTCATTTTCTTTTCTTTTCTCTTTTCTCTTTTCTTTTTTTATTCTTTACTTTATTTTTCTTTATTTTCTTTTCTTCGATGACAATACAACAAAGATTGAAATTCTATTATATTTACCTTAATTGCTTCTTTTTTCTTTTTTTTCTATTTCTATTTCATTTATTTTGGGTAACCAACCATGTTTCAACTAGAGATTGTACCAATCAAATAGCTTAGATTATCCGAAATGAAAACTACCCGTCTCCCTCTCTCTCTCTCTCTCTCTCGCTCGCTCCAAAAATAAAAAAAAAGAAAAATCAATTTGGATTCACATATTCAAAACTTATTATTAACATATGGATTGGTTGAAGATAGACATTAAACCTGGTGGATGTCGGTCAGCTTAATGATCTAGAGGTGAATTGTTCACGTGTTGAGCTGTAGGTCGTGTGTCCGAATCTCTTTGGTGTAGGACTGTGAATGCACACTGCTAAGGAGTTCCACAGTAGGACGAAATGGTCATATAGTGCTTCCAGGTTATTCATAGTGGTCTAGTTTTAATTGACTCATGGTCTCAACTATTGAAATTATTACAATCTCCACAAAACCCCTTCTGATATTAATCAACATGTGCTCACTAGTGACTGGTTTCAAGGGGTATTTCCTTGAATTTTAGTGAGAAATAGTGACGAGTGGGGTTCTGTTGTGAGATAGTAACTCACTGAAGACAATGGTGGACAGTGGCGCAACTTCGTGGATGGGTTAGAGTTTAGCATTAACGCCGTTGTATGGCGGCCAGCTCAATGGTCTAGAGGTTAAGCGATCAATCGTGAAACTGACAGGTTCCAGGGTTCAAATCCCGTGGGACGAGACCGTGAATGCACTTTGCTGAGGAGTCTCACAATAGGATGAAATAGTCGTCTAGTGCTTCCAAGTTATCAATAGTGGTATAGCTTCAAATGACTTATGAACTCAACTATTAAATTACTATAATATCCACAAAAACCTCTTCTGGTAATATATGTATATTAGTTTAAACACCGACATGTTTATTCACTATCAAATTGGTTGATAGAATTTCAGGTTAAACACGTTACCGACTTACACTTCGTCGAAGAGCATAGGCCACCTATTAACATTCTCCATCCAATTCTGTTCTAATCAATTATTTCCTGTTCTTTTCAGCTGGTATTCATTCTTTTCATGTCTCCTTCCACTTCTCTACTTAATCTATGCTTTGATCTTCCTTCTTCCCGTTTCTCTTCAGGATCCAAACTAAGCCCTTACTTTGTGATGCAACTTGATGATTTTCATAATGTATGACCTATTCACTTCTAACATCCTTTCTTAATTTCCTCTTCATCTGAATGGTGGTTCTTTGTTAGAAATAATAGTAAGCAAATTACGTTATCTCGTTGAAAATATCTCATTGTTAACAATTAGTGAATCTTATTTCATTTTGGACAAAGTACGCATCGAACGACCTGTATACCTAGCTCCACAAGAGCAGGTAAATTGGTAAATGCACATTGAGTTTGTCAGATGCGATGAAGTAAAAATAAGTATATATATTTGCGATTGTACAGCTTTGAAAATGAATATCGCATCCGACCAACTCAATGTGCATTTACCAATTTACCTGCTCTTGTGGAGCTAGGTATATAGGTCGTTCGATGCGTGCTTTATCCAAACGAATTCAAGAACATTATCCGGAATGGCTAATAAGAGGAGGCAACGGCTCAATAAGAAGTTCTATAATCGAACACCTTGTGTACACAGGTCATTCAATCAAGACAGACTCTGCGTTAAAAGTCGTCTACAAGGTAAGTAGAAGCCTTCCTAAGACAATCAGATTGAATCTTGTTTCAAACATTAATTGAATTCTATTAGAGAACCAATAAAAACCAAGAAGCTTTAGATAACTGTTTAGTTCTAGTCTAGGAATCACAGAGCAATATATATTCATGATCTCTCCATAATTTCAATTCTGGACCTTACAATCTCTTGTCAAATGTTTTAGTTTTGTCCTACTGAGTAGCTACCCAACTAAAACCAAACTTTGAAGTGAACTATACAGACTAATAATCTGCACAATATCCTTTGATAATAAATATTACTTTAATCATTTGAATGGATGTATCTCCATCTGTTAATGTTTACTCTGGGACTCGAACCCTGTTCTGTTCACTTAAACACTATCTCCTTATTCACTTACTTACTGAGTCCTGATAGCCATTTGCTTGTGTAGTGGTGATGAAACATACTTCCTGGGTTCCATTGCTAGCTACCATCCATCCACCTCTGCTTATGATGCTTGTGACTCAAAGCAATATCGATCAATTGCAGTCCTAAAGATCAATGGAAAGATTCCAGTAAACAAAATCAAGTGAATTCCCTAAACTATTTTAATTATAGAGATATGTAGTAACCTGTTATTATTTTTTGCAATTATGAAATAATCTTAAAATGAGATCTGAATTGGCAGTAATGACTAATTGATTCATTAACTTTTGAGACTTCCCAATAGTTTGTAAAGATAACCTTGTAGTGTCGGTTACTATGTTAAGCCCATATACCGTATTCTAGTGTTCAAACAGGCCAATCTATTCATTCTACTTGAGTTATATTTTGATCTTGTTAATGATTCACTTATCAATCTGAACTGTTTTTATATGACCTCATATATGTGTGTGCATAATCTTATCCTACTCAACATATATATGTAGCTTATTTTTGTATGATTATAAATATCGATTAACGCTTGGTTAGACGGAATCGGCTCACACGCTTTCTCCATCGAGCATCATTTCACATCGCTTTCTTGTCGTCGATTCGTCCCTCTGATTGCCTACCCAAATCAATGATTGTACAAAAATATATGTTTTGCGGAAATCCATTCTCGTATCTAATTTATTCAATTCCGTTATTCACTAACGCGATCTAATTAGATCATCATATACAAGGAATGGTGATATGTACATCACAATAGCAATCTGTTGGGTTGATCCAGAAAACTTCTCGTAAAAGTCAAGAAAGGTTCAGCAATCACTAAGACGCATTTTATCTAATCAGCGTTCACTAGAAGTTTAGCCAGAAACATCAAGAAAGTGAAAAGTCACATGTAGAGTTTCTGATTGGCTGATTACTATACCGCTACTATGTTTAGTAGCATTCCAGAATTTTCGGGAAACCCAAGGACATCTAAAATAGGATAAAAACCCTATATTTTCTGTACCAAAATGAACCTTTGGAGTGAAGTGCTTCTCGCATATTTCGCACCTTTCCTTTCATGTTCAGGTCGCTGTGTGGCTCTAGCTTGGGGGGGGGTTACGAGAATAGCTTAGGAACCGAATACAGCGTTCAATTAGGAAGACTTATCACAAATCAGAAACGATTAAACTGGAATCAGATCACGGGCCACTCAAACCTTGCATAGAATTAAACCAAAAACGGATAACAATATGATCATGGTTAAATTATCGATTACTGACTTCATATTCTAAATGTTGTAAACCATATTGCTTAAACATTGATAACACCCACGAGACGAAATTTCACTACATTTCCCTACATACATCAGTTTGCTTGTTTGCTTTTTTTTGTTTCTTCTTAGTGACTGTTTACTGTTTAGAATAAATGTGAGCTTATTTCGTCACTATTTCCGTTGTGTTTTTTTTCAAACTGACATAAGTATGAAAAATGTTTATCATTTAATAATATTACTAACTGGTACGTCCTGGGTTCGAATCCCGTGGATAGGATTGTGCATGCACACTGCTGATGAGTCCCGTACTAAGACGAAACAGTCCAATAAATAAATAAAGGATAATGTTATCAGAGCCTAATTTAACTGAAAGAAGTTAGAACATAACTTATAAGATAGACTTAAACTATAAAACAGCTCTTATATATATATATACCCTATGAGGAATAACATAAGTCAGAAACGTACATGACATGTCTAATTTTCGGACGTTAGACAATGACTTCCCAAACTCTTCCTAAGTTCCTCCTTAAACTCTTACACTTGATTTTTGACGAGTAAAGCAAAAGTGTGAAATACAAATAGAATAGTTAAGATCGTGAGTCGATTGAAGCTAGACCACCATGGAGAACCTGGAAACACTAGACGGCAGTTTCACCCTAGTACGAGATTTCTCAGCAGTGAGCATTCACGATCCCGCCTCGCGAGATTCGAATCTAGGATCTTTCAGTCTCGCGAGCGAGCGCTTAACCTACAGATTACCGAGTTGACATCCAACGGTGTTAAGATCTAAATTCAACCCATCTATGAAATTGACGATACATCCACCATTTTCATCAGTGAGTCACTGTCTCACAACTGACTACGTTGCACTCCAATAATCACTGCTTCTCACTAGAACTCCAGGATATACACATTGAAGTCAGTCACAAGTGAGCATATATTGATAAGTATCAGAAGGAGTTTTGTAGAGATTGTAATAATTTCAATAGTTGAAGCTAGACCATCATGGAAAACCTGGAAGCACTGGTCGTCCGTTTCATCCTATCTTGGAACTCCTCAGCATTTAAAGGTTGATTAATTTGATTAATATTTTATCCTTGTCGACTACCTTCTAGAAGCTCCGG